CTAAGAGTAAAAGATAAAAATTAACCATTTTATGACTAGAAGGTTAGAAGAAAAACATGCTTAAATTGAAAAAATATGAAACAAATAGAAAAAATAAGTGTAATAGAACAAGAGCTTCCTCACTGAAGAAGCAAGTACATCTTGCAGCATGGATGCAGCCACCAGCTGACTGGAGATTCCAGCGTGCATCTTTATTGTGCTGTGACTTTTTGAAACAGTAAATTTTAGATGCTTATTTATAACTACTTATGATCGTTATTTTAATTTTTTTTTAATTAAAAAAAACTCAAAAGATAATTATAATATGTTTTTATATAATAATTGTAAAAATGTAGTGTACAAATTTATCATTTATAAATTGAATTTCATTTATAAATTATAAATATTTATTTTACAATAGTTCTTACAATAGGAATAATAAACATTAATTTATTTTTATTAAAGTACAATTTTAATTACCACCGCTTATGGTATTTTAAACACTATTGATACTTCATCACATTCTGTGATTCATTAGAGATTGAAAATATATTTTATTACTAACAGACAGTAATATTAGTGCAATAAATAAATACAAGTTATTTTTTGTTTCCTTTAGGCCGTTTAATACGGGCACTCAGTGACACCACCTTTTATTTAATTTTAAACTTTAGTTAATTTAAGGGTGTCGTGTTTATTTAGATTAGAGCGAAAATAAACAACGGTTGTATCAAGTTAATAAAATAATATAAATGTTTATTTCTTATACAGATAGACAAAATTAAAATTTCAAAACAATGAAAATGAAGATTTAATATTTAATCTATTTTTTTTAAAAGATGATCTCGAGAAAGAGTATTTAATAAATATTGGTAGAAAAAAAAGCCTTTTTAGTCTCAATAATTAAAATACTTTATTTTAAATTTGTTAAAATTATTAGACATGAGCTAACTTCTACTAGTAAATACTCAGAAAGAATTATGTATATATATCAGATTTTATCCTTGAAGATACCACCTGAAGAGGTGAAAATTGGGATACATTTAAAATAAAGTATTTTAATTATTGAGACTAAAAAAGACCTTTTTCCTACTGTAACATTTTTTTACTATTTTGGATTAAGGTTTTTTCTAAACAAATAACTACAAAACCGTATTTTCTTTATGTTCTTTACAACTGTTAAAACTGAATTTGAGAATGTATTAAGTTATAGGAGATATTCATACATACCTAGAAATTGTTTAGACATTTATGCATATAAAAATAATTTAAAATATTTTTTAACTAACTTTAGGCAGATCATGGCGGTTAAAATTAATAAGAACTTCTCTTTAACCATGATTCATTAAAAGTAAAAAGAAAGAAATTTTTCAGAGGATATCGGAGCTTTTTTAAATCGCAGTCTTTGTAAAAATTTGAAAGTAAAAATAAACAGATTTTATACATTATTATATTTTTTTTTTAGGTGAGCAGAATGGCAGTGAAATGTTGGTAAAGTTAAAGGAAAAATTTTGAACCACCAGCTCAAACCAAGTTATTTTACAAAGAGAAGGATGTCTGATCATTCATATTTCAAATTGATCTACTAAACTAAAAAAAATAATAGATTTAAACAGAAGGTGTAAGTGGCACTTGTATCTTTGGTGTGAAAGCCCTTTCTTCAAGATGCAAGATGCACCTGCGCGCATGCATCTTGTGTCTTGCATCTTCAGTGTGAAAGAGGCCTAGATCTCACCTTCATACTAAAATTTAAATGAAATGAATACAAAATTATTATCTCTCTGCCAGTCCCTAACAGTCCCTAAAAAACAGTCCCTATATTTTAATTGCTTGATGTTCAATCAATTCCCTAACATAAATAATACATTGAAAAACAAAATGATCCATACTTGTTAGACTCACTTTTTCATGAATTAATTTTCTTGTTGGAACTACCATCGAAAAATAACTGAGAATTAACTACATCCACATTGTTTCAATTTATTTATATTTGCATTTTAAATTCCTGAAAGATTATCGATTTTCATTCTGATTCAATTTAAAGTGCTTTGAGAAACGGAAGCAATGGTTTCACCACATGATCTCCGGTTATTTTTATGACATTGTTAATTAGGATAAGTAAAAAGTTTTTAATAAACATAACTAACACTAAATATAACTGCATTTTAAGTAATTTTTTTTGTTATTAATTACGATTTTAGATAAATAATAACATACATATCCTACAAGAACATTGCAGCCAATGTCTGTGGTAAGGTGTATTAAGTGTGCTAAGTATAAGGTAAGCTTGTTATTGTACATTCAATCAATTTAGCAAACATAGTAGCATGATCATTTATTCAATTATTCAAGTTATATATACTGTAATGTCAACATTACATGGCATTTGGATAGTGGCGCAAAGGTGGTGATGGCGCGAACTACGGGAAGAAAGTGGGGGAAACAAGCTTCATGTAAGGCAAAAAGGGACTGCGACGGGCCGCCAGGAGGGAAGGTGCTAGCGGCTAAGAGAGAAGATCATGAGCCGTCAAGAGAAGGAGACAAGCGGCCAAGGAGGAAGGTGCCAGCCAGCAAGTGGAGAAATTAGGAAAAGGAGTCTTAGCCGGTTCGAGTGTTGACAGAGGCCACTAAGGAAGATTATTTTATGTTGGAAGAAAGAATATAGCAGAAATTAATTAAGTGGTACAGAAACATTAAGTGGACAATCGTAAGTAAGAAGAGATTATTTCGCTGGCAGGCGTCAACATTTGGGTGAGTGCTAACAATACCATTTATGTTGACAAAGGGATAGAACCAAAAGTTTAGACCGGGACAAATTATTTAATAAAATATTTTAAATTATAAATAAGTGTAGTAGTAATTAATGAATTAGTGTACATTGTCTTTATAAATAGGAATGAGTGTTCAGGTGTCAGAACCCAACCTTGAGATTATGTTATATGTGTAAAATAAATAAGATATTCAAAAAGGAAACTCGTTTGTTTGTTTTTGTTCCTTTTGAAAACGTTACAATACATTTCATGTATCCCCTACGAAACCTCATATACATTTCAAGTGCGAAACCCTAAAAGGCACTATGAAGGTCAAGACAATGAAAAAATACAAATAATAAGGAAAAGTAATATATTTAAACATTTATTTGATGAAATGATTTTCATACCAAGAAATTACAAAAACATTGCAAAAACTACAGTAATTTCTTATTCCCATAAAACTAACAAAACAGGAGAAAATAAAAAACAAATTACTAATTGCAATGCAGGTTACCTGTGAGAGAACTAGTAGGAACAAACTGATACAACCCAAACCCTAGATGATGACCTACAGCTATCCAATGGAGGAGAAGAAATAAATAAACTTGGGAATAACAATCCACTGTTTTCTGAACTCTTCAAATAAGGTGGATAGGAAATCCTGAAGGTGTTATATAACCTCTTGATACTGATATGGATAGATGAAATGTTCCTAAAAGTTTGAAATAAAACAAATCTCAGCTGATACACAATAAAGGAAGTTCACTTCATAACAGAGATATTTTGCTGTTACCACACCCCAGTAACATCTTCTCCAACATTCTTTCCAAAAATTTCCCCTACATTTGAAAACATCCTAGAGAAATATTAATATTCAATTCAATGAAATAGATAACTCAAAAAAATTATCAAGGAATATTTATCATCCACAAAAAAATATTTGAGTGAAATTAATAAAAAAGATTTAATAATTCACACCAAAATGAATTTTTTTCAAAAGACAGGTCAATTTCATTTTGAACTGGACCTCTTCAATGTCTAAATGAAGTTTAGCTTTAATTTCTGTTGTTATATAATGTTGTCTATTTGTTATTTTTCCTATGTTATCTGATTCAATTTGTTTATATTTTATTCTAAATTCAACAGCACTGTAGAAAGGTTTTCTCCTTTATTTCATTTGTATAAGTGGCATGTAACAAAATCTCAAAACTTCACCTACCATCACAGGGGATTTTATGGTGCTAGTTGGACAATCAAAATATTTGAGGGGGGCACATTTCAAAGGGTTTTGAATTTTTGAGGGGGGCACATTTCAACGGGGTTATGAATTTTCGAAATGAAAAGTTTCAGAATAGGGGGCAAGGAGAAAACATGGAACAAACCGCAGCAAGGGTAATTGTGTATGATCTATGGTTTTTCTAATTCTACTATCCCTTGCTCTGTTTTTAAGAAAAGTGAGCGATAAAATATTTTGGGAAGAGTGGGTAGTTCTTGCGCTATTTACCTTGGGGGGGAAGGGCACCCCTTCCTACCATGGTAGGCAGTTTTAAGAGCTATAAGAAACTGACCTGAAATAAATTATTCTGCTTTTATAAAATTGAGTTATAAGAGTAGCGATTCACAGAAATATCAAACATATTAAATTTAAAAAATGATAAAAATTATTTTGTATCTTCCTATCACATTACTGCTTGCATCATGATCTCAATATTTCATTAAGCCCAAGTTCTTGTCCCCTTTAATCCTGTTTGTACCAAATAAAGAAAATAATATTAAACATTGGGTGGTATATTTATGCAATCCTCCTAATCAATTCAGCGGAATGCACAGATTTATGTTGAGGATATAAATATAAGAAGAATCTTAAAGAAATATCTTAATATGAGCAAGACCTCACACCATCTTCAATGTGAGGGTCTCCTGTATAGTCTCCTCTCTGATAGTCTTCTCTTCATGGATTCACATATACAGAAACCCTTTCATGTCATAAATGGCATAGATGTTGATGTTATGTTGAGTGCTATCTGCAGTGATATTTAAAATAGATAATTTTAATCTTTCTAAGAACTATCTTTCACCAAAAAAAAGGGCATGTGAGTTGATTGATTTTATCAAATGAATTGACAGACTAGGATAACAATAAATTGTAAAACTTATCAATTTTTTCTTGGATTTAATCCTGTCAAGGACTTAGCTGTTAGAAAAAGATAGACGATTTTACATAATGGAAAATGAAGCTTGAAACAGAAAATCAATGTTACTGGCTATAATTAAAAGTCTTTATAATAGTTGAACTTTTCGCAATAAAGCGTACTTTTTATCTTCATAAAATAAATTTATTATCGTATAGAACCAATCAAAGAAACATGTTGGACATACTCCTCTTCTTAGCAGCGGATCCCTTCTTTCTGAAGTACATCACTTCCTGCCTGAGCCGTTCATCATCATCATCCCTTTTGGAAGGGAAGTACTTGGGCCTGTAGTAGTGGACTGGGCAAGTCCCCAAGTCCTTGCAATAAAATACATTCTGAAGAACATCCACCGAATCGAAAACATACATGACATTTCTCAGGTTCCTCCTGCTTCTTTTCAAGTAAAGTTTCTGTACATTAACATTTCTGTCGAGATATGTTTTGTAGTCTAAGCCTATGAAGTCTCGTTTCATGTTGAGATATTCTCGGCTCAAGGTCTTCACAGCATCAGGCTCTCCGTGGGGCATCCTTATTTAGTTAATCACTTTTCTTTTCAGATTTTTATCTAAAGCAGGAAAAGGAAAAAAAATATATATGTAAATTATTATCTTAATTGTTCATCACATGTCTATGTCATATGTTCAGTTACAATTGTCATTATTTGTGTGTAAATTTTAGTAAGTGATATGAGTGCAATTTAATTATTCTTTCAGAATAATAACTTCTGTTTTTCCCATTTACAAATTTACATAACACTGAAAAGTTTAGAATATTGAATATGTAGTTCCTTGGTAGATTATGCCTTTGTTGGAGCAGGACAAACCATATGATTTAATTTAATTTGATAAACAATCGATATCATATAAAAATAATATACTGTGTTCAGATGTTTTTATGGTTATAAAATTAATGTTTATGGTTATAAAATAAATTGTGTTGATTAGCAAAATCTGTAACTTTCTTTAAGATATTTATTAAAGTAAATCAATCTTAACTTAGCCCATAATATTAATAAAATGACCAATAATAAGTATAATTTAATTATTCTTTCAGAATAATAACTTCTGTTTTTCCCATTTACAAATTAACATAACACTGAAAAGTTTAGAATATCGAATATGTAGTTCCTTGGTACATTATGCCTTAATAAAAGAGAGATTATGCTTGGAAGTTGAGAATAACAGTAGAGTGGCATCAAGAATTAATATGATTGGGATGGGGCCACTGTTACGAATTCAGGACAAAGCAGGGAGGGAAGAAGTACCAACTCATGAAGAATTATTTACAGATTTAAAAAAAAGCTAGGTGATTCTTTTAGTCTATTGAAAAAAAGTAATAACATCCGATTTAAAGGTAAATAAAGAAAGAAAGAATAGGGATAAGTTTGTTATAATCAGGGGTGCTTAGAAGGAGGTTTCACCATTCACTTACCCCACTACTTTGAATAGAAATTATTTTCTGGCAATGTTGGGCTATTATAAAATTTTGAAGTGCTTTTTAAACGTAGCTAAAGCTTAAAGCTTACTGATAACAAATCATTAAGACCATTAATATTTAAAAAAGTCTATTTATTGTATCGACAAGGCCATCAAAATCTAGTAACTCCATTTGCTTTTATAAACCACGCATCTTCAGTCTCTGAGCCTTTCAGTTGAAAGAATCACTAACTCGAATTTCAAAATTTTTGAGTAATGTCATTTTAGTGATATTTCTAGTTGGAAAAGTTGTGTCTATACAGACAGTGAGTAAGTTGATTCCAGAGTAGATGATTGAAATACGAATGTGATATTACGAATTTAAGAGACATATGCCTTAGATGTGACAGCAACTTTTTTCTTAAAATCAGCTAACCGGAAGTGGCACTTAATGTCAACGGTGAACCACATTTTTACAATTTTCTCAAAAACGGCTCCAACGATTTTTTATTAAACTCGGTGTATCATTTTATAATTAAGTGTTCTTTGATATCATTGAGATCTTATCCCCATGGATGCCATTTTACAGGGCTTAAATACCCAATGTTCATATACGTCTTCCTCTAAAGTACCTTTAGTATGGTTTATTTTGAAAACTCTCTTTTATTGACAATAACTATAAAAAATGGCTAAATATAACATTTGAAAGAATTCCATAATTGAATAAAGGAGAAAAAAAGAAAAATGCTTATCCAGGTCGAAAATGAATCTCCGGAAATAATAGTCAGAAGGTGTACGTAAAATATATCGCTGGAAAGCGGAGAATTTTGGAAAAAATAATATAAAATAAATGAAGTTGTAGAAGGTAACGGAGAGTGACGAAAAAAATATAAATAATAATTTCTGAAAACTAACATTATTTAACGTAAATCACATGTTTCCAAGCAAATCAAATGAAATTGTCTTACTAAATGTAAACTTTTTTTTTAGTTTAAATATTTTATGAAAAGTATTTAAAATCTACCGAAACAAGACAATGACATTGTTTCTTTTCTGTGTTTGTGAGTGTCTGTGTGTGTGTGTGGGTATGTGAACAGTGTAACTCAAAAATAAAAAGTCGTACGAAACTGATATTACTTATTTAAGATAGGTATATGACTGAGATGTTACAGCAACTTTTTCTTTTTACATTACTATGAACTGTTTCCTGACATTGTTTAAAAAACTGTTTCATGGTACTTGTGTGAAAGAAGAAGTGAAATATAAAAATATTTCATGGATATGTTTATAACCTTAAATATATGTACTGTAGTTTAATAACTCTAGATCTGATATTATATTTAAATAATTACGTATCAACGTCACCCGCAGGGGCTAGCTGATGTGCAAGGCTAGTGGGGATTAACGCTCTCCCGAGTTCAGTACACTACACAAACACACACAATACACATACACTGACATAAGGTCACATACATTACACACCCTAGGGTCACCTATCCTGGGGGGACCATGTGGACGAGGGTATAAATTGTCCCCAGCCGTCTCGAGGTAATGGGGCTTCTATTGCTGGGCCAATCACCCGTAGTGGAGTAAAACTGATTCCGAGCAAACAAACTTGCCTCGGAAATGGAAAATGAATGTAAAAATGTATATTTTTAAAGCAGTATATCTACCAACCCTTACATATGGGAGTGAAAGCTGGGTCTCATTAACCAAACACCTAAGCAGAGTTACTGAAATATCTTCGAAGGGTAGCCGGCAGAACCAGGAGAGACCAGATCAGGAATGAAAAAACAAGAGACAACCTAGGAACTGTCTCACTAAAGGATTCAATAGAAAAGAGGCAACTGAGATGGTTTGGGCATATATGCCGAATGAATGAAGACCGTGACCCACGAAAATTCATTGAGGCGAGACCTGTAGGAAATCCCACAAGAGGAAGGTGCAGATTGTCATGGATGGAGTAAATTTCCCAGATCGGGCAGAAAAGAGGTATGAGGATAAGGGATATGAGGGCTCTAGCTCGGGACCGAAATGCTTGGGATGCATGGGTCGAGGCACCTCCACGCTGGAAGGAACAAAGGAGGTAGAGAAAGAAGAAGGTATCAATTCTAAAAACCGTCATGTAACCTATTAGAATATTAAATTAGTGAATAGTTTGATGAGTTTTCCCTTTGTGAAATCCTAACATTATCCACTTAAAATTAGAGTAACAGCTTTTGACCTATCTATGGCAAGCTATGAAAATCTCGTATTATCATTTTGGTAAATTTCACAATGGAAAATAACAGTTTAATGATTAATAATCGTACAGTCCATAATCATTTATAGGTTGAATATAGAGATATACTTTCAAATCTCTCTTTGAGAAAAAAATTATTTAAATCCCACCGATTCAAGCCAATGCCATTGTTTAAAATACTATTTCATTGAACTTGAAGTATTGAAATACAAAAATATTCCATAATTCATAAATTATATGATTTATTATAACATGAATTATAATTCATAAAATATATTCATAAAAGATTGACTTTTATCTTTTAAAAGATTTAGACGATACCATTCTTATACAAGTGTCACTCCAATTTGATGGGTAGGCCAAGATCCCATGAAAACGTTATAAACGGGACCCCGAGAATAGCCGAAGATTGACTTGTTCATAGTTTAACCTCTCTTTTATAGCTATTCACAACTTAAACAAACTCACAGCTGGCCCGTTTCGGTTAAAATTACTCATTGAGTAATTCTTAATTACCTAAATTAAACATACTTTTATGTTTGGCTTTCCTATTCAAATAAAACGTAGGTATTAGTCGAACGAATTTTGATCCATGACAAAGAAAAATTCCTGTTATCGGTACCTCGGGCTTATAAAATAAAAAAAAAATCGTCTTCTAATTGCACCTAATCTTAAAGAAAACAAATAGTAAGACACTATCGTAAGATTTTGTGCAAATCACCAAAAGCTAAACATGTATTAAAATAACCAAATAAACACCCTATTAAATACGAAATTCTTTGGGGTATTACAGAAAACACAGATGAATAAATAAAATAGATAAATTATCTCAAAGTATTTCGACAAACATATCGATTTTCCAAAAAGTATAATTAAGCAATTTATTTTCTGCTTGATCAAGGATCGGATTAAATTGTCCTGAATTACTTAATTATATATGTATAAAATAAAATTATTTGTAGGTATAAACATTTGAAAAGGAACATAAATGAGCAACATGAATTACATAAAAAAAATATATATATATATATATATGCAGAGAGAAAAAGGTTAGCAGAAGATTTAACTAACAAACAAACAACAGTGGTTTTGTGATAGACGCAGAACATAAATATATACATTTCCTGACACATCACCGAGTTTATTGTAAAGAAATAGAATGAATGATTTTGTGAGTCCGAATTACAAGATAATACACAGTTCTTACCATTGAAAATACAATAAATAGCTGAAGTTCTTTGTCAGGCAGTATGTCGTTCATTCAAGTACACTATATTAACGATCTGCTTGCTACTGAATAGTATTCCATTAATTCAATCGATTAAGATCAATCCAGCTGGCGATAAAAAACAGTGTTTTTAGCATGCTTGCTGTTTATTGGATTTGACATCCGAAATTGCGGATTTTCATGATACGAAGTCCTAGAAGAACAGAATAGAGCTAATATATTTTTTTATATAGTTGATTATATAGTATATGGTATATAGTGGTTGTTTTATGGCCTTTTCCTTTCTTCAACAATTATTTTGTTCAATTACTGTGACCAACCTCCAACGAAAATTACTCTCGTACAAAATGTTGGTTCTTCACTACCGAAGGCAGAGAAACTTTACATTCGTGCGAGAGATTTAAAAAAAAAAAAAAGAGCTCAGAATTGAAATTTTTCACTTGCGTTTTAAGTTTTAGACATTAGGGATCAACTTTGGTTCAGTGTCTGTCTGTAGTAAAATTGGTGTGACGAGCACATCACCTACTACCGTTCATCGGATTTACTTCGTTTTTTTTTTCAGGGATTGTGCAAGTTGTGGGTCTAAATAAACTTATATAAATTTTGTCCAATTCCATCTATCACTTCTGCTTGCGCACGCGTAAGTGTATTTTCTTAGATATGCCAATATTTTATAAACGTCTCATTCGATTTTGCTCAAAGTTGAAAGAATGGTGGGTTTTGGTATAATAATGATTCTTCATCGATTTTATTGAATTCCGTCGTCTTTGTCTACTTTCTCTTATGCATGCGCAAACGTGTTTCCCTTATCTCTAAAATCGCACATTTGATTTCACTCAAATTTCATGGGAAGTTAGGAATTGGTCAACAGATAATTAGTAAGTATCAATTTAAAAAAATTCTATCCACTACTTAAAAAAATATATATATTTTTGCTTTCGGATCAGTAAACGTATTATTTCACACGCCTATAGTTTGAACACGTCTCGTTCAATTTGACCCAAACTTGGTGAAAATATGGAGAAAAAATCACCACATGAAAAAAAGCAGAGCGTCAAGTGAATGTTTTGAATTTGCTTGTAATGCCAGGTACGAATAAATGTATTTAATACCAAACAATAAAAAAGAAATCGATGATCTCTGTCTAGGTGACATTTTACAATAGAAATGTTCTGTGTGGATTTTAAAAATGTTCAAAAAATATAAAAAAACAAAACGTAAGTTTTAGAAAAGAAATGGTTCACAAATCATTCAATGACTTTTTTTTAATAATAGATTAGTCTGCCCACTGTGCGATGGTTCGTGTGCTTTATCGCCTGCTAACCTAAGGTCATCTACACCTATTGGTCATCTATAAATATAGTTTTAGTTCATCGAAAAAATCGTATCCTAACCAACTCGCTCATCAGTTGTTCAAGAAAATTAATCTAATTTATTTTCTTGATTGGGATATTTACACTGGTCTATATTTGCTTTAAATCGGTAGGAAAGTTGTGTGAGATAAAACACTCACTTGGTACTTCGATCTTCAAATATCGTTGGCAATCTAACGGTATATCGGGTAAATCAGCCGGGGTCTAAATCAAAAATGTTTAACATTTACATTACATTATATTAAATTACATTTGGTTAAAAAAATAGTTCAACATTTATTCGTATCGAAAAATCTGCGTATAAGATTCATAAAGCCATAAATAAATAATGCATCTCTGTTAACTAACAGAAGGTTTCGTGAAATGCATATTCAGTAAAGGATGTTCTTGAGATAATTGTGAGATGCATTTTCCAATTGTTAAAATGGAAGACTCATATAAGTGTAGGATATGATTCAGCTGTAAACTGAATGAGTTTTTCCGACCATTGGACCGTCGGAGGAACATTTACGTAAGTATTTTGTTCCAAACCTGAATTCATTTAACCTTCTTCATAGGTAATTCGCCAATTTTCGTAATTATAAAATGTTATGTAACAATTATCGGAGGTGGGAGTGCGGTGGTATATCAAGGGAATCTGTCAGGTGTATGCAAACATTCAGTCATGGAAATCACCAGTGTTCTCTGGACAACGCTCACCATCGTATGGGCTGTGGATGGTTTCGGGATCGAACTATTGGGTAAAAATTGATATATTTCATTTAATAGATAAGTAATAGATAATATATCATGTATAGTTTATTATAGTTGAACATAGTACACGATTCATAACAATACTGTTTATTTTTTTTTTGTCGAGCCAAGATTCCCACTGAAGCCCCTATTGTTATATTAAAGTATAATGTCAACAATATTGTTTATAATGATTTAATTTATGCATCAATTGAGTATTTTATTTGATTACAACGTTTCGGCTTATATTTAACTTCATCAGAGCGGCTTGAGTGATTTTTCAGCAAGTGATATAGATAAAGGACAGGAAATAGGCCTAAACTTTGCCATTAAATTAAATTATCCAATTTTGTTTTCTTTGTGACTGCTACCCCTAACCAATAATGTTTATATTTTATTTCTTAAAGTTATTTTTGTGTTCATACGCCATAACTCAACTTGGTTGTTAATCAAAATCAATAATTGAGAAATCGTAGTAACAACCACCTTGAAAAGCAAGAAAAAAATTCGGAAACTTTATTTGCGCTCAACTCAATAAGTATACATTTATGCGGTTTAAAACAGCATTCAATTCACTAAAAAAAAAACATGATCTCTTCGAAATCGGACCTTTATTAGCAAAGATACAGCCAGTAGCATATCCAGGAATGTTCTGAAGTTGGGTGAAATGAAATGAAAATAGATTTTTATTATCCTGGGACTTTTGTCCCTTTAGGAAATATAGAAACAGAAATATATTTTATGTCCCTAACAGCAAGATAATACATTGTTATTACTGTACATTTACATTTGATCGAATGTTTAAGATAAAAGAAGATAAAGAAATATTCATGCTTGAAGATCAGTAAAATGAGATTTTACGAATACAGATATGCAAAAAAAAAATTCAACCGCAGGAGGAACGAACAAAAACAGATTAGTCGAAACAGTAGTTCGGTTCTCGGAGTATAAGTGTAACACGGTGGGCCAGATCCCCCTATCTCTGCATCCCTCCCCCCCTCCTCCCACATCCTTATAAATTGCATATCGTTGTGTTCCTTGTAACTATTTATTAAAAAAAAAGCCAATGTTACCACAAAAAAAAAGTGAACAAACTTTCCCAAAATGGCGTCCAAACATGGCGGATTGACGACTTTGACTTTAGTTAGTTTTTTAGTTACTGAGAATCAGAATTTGGCTTAATTTCGTCATAGTCGGTGTTTTATTAAAGCTAGATAGTCAAAGAATAATAAAACATGACAAAATATTAAAAAATAATTGGCTTAGGCAATAAAAAAACACCAGTAAAATCATTTCTTTAACAAAAAAATTTTCAAGTTGAAAATAAAGCGTCGTTTGTAATTAAACGGCCAACAATAACGCAAAACATGCAGAGATAAAACATATGGAGAATATATTCTTCTTTCTAAAACACTGATTACTTTTTAAAATATTTAAAACAGTTCCGTAGAAAACTCACTTAAGTGGCAGAAAAGCGGTACTGGCGTAGGTGCCTTCAGGCCTCTATCACACCATTTAGTACTCATAAATGGCTTAGTTATAGTGCCATAATAACGTTTTTGGTACATTATATTGATTGTATTAACGAACAAATATTGATACAATAATTTCATAATTAAATTAAATCATCCAGATATTCTCCAATACTAATTTCAAGAGGTGTCACATACATTGTACTTCATCAGATTGAATTTAATGGCCAATTACTTTCGGTGGTAGGAGCAGGAGTGCCCGTCCCCTCTGAGATCGATGGCACAAGAACCTACACCCCCTTCTTCCAAGATATTTTATTGCTTACCTTTTCTTAAATACAGATCAAGCTCAGGTAGAATTAGAATAATTGATGATCATATACGATTACATTTGCTGTGGTATGTTCCATGTTTTTCTCCTTGTCCCCTAGTCCGAAAATTTGCTCCTTCGTCAAGAATTCAAAAATCCGTCATAATATGCTCCCCTCAAAAATTCTCAACTGGGCACCCCTGGGTAGCAGTAACACTAGAGAAGCTGCTATTGTTAACATTTTTTATGTATTTTTCAAATCGTACATTATCTTTTAACTAGTAAAATTGAAATAAAAAACAACATTACTAAGAATAAATTTAAAATGAAATCTCTCAAGAACTCAGACATTGTTTTTAATGTTAGATTTTCAGTATATCAGTTCCATAAAAAAAAATACATATATACAGGAAAAAATACAAAATCAATATATTTTGGCTTGGATTTCCCGTCTTCTTAACAAGTAACAATATACATTTACAACTGGCCTTTGAAAAAGTAAGTAACAAATATTACAAAAGTTAAACATAAATTTTAATAGTTGTTACCAGAATTTGAAAGCTATTATTATTTTTCCGCAAAATCGTGTAATAATTATTAAGTTCGATTTTTAATTTAAAAATCATGGCTGATTTATAAATAAAAAAACAAATTTAATTAAAAATTTAAATCGATCTTTGAGATTTGTTGAGTAGATTAAAAATAATGATCACGCATGGAGTGATACGGTTTTACCTAAATAATAATGACTAAATTGTGATTAAAAAATGTTGATTAAAGTTAAAATCACCTTTTATACATAAATAAAATTAAATATTAATATGTATGAATGCGTTATTAATGTACACATTTTTTAAAATTATTATTTATTTTTTTTTTAGGCCAAAATTTCTGATGAATTTTTTTAATAAAGATGTTCTGTGGATAATAGTTAACCACAATATTCTCCATCTACTACTCCAGATTCAGAATATATTATTATTACAAAAAATTTATATTTCTCATTTAAAAAAGTATTACTCATGAATTATTATTATTGTTAATTGTGTTACAAAATAATGATCTGGAAATAAAAACCATCAAATAATTTTTAAAAACTTCAGATAAAAATTTTGATCATATTTGATTTTTATTTATTTAACTATCGATTTAAATCCCTGTTTGTTTATCGTTATTTTGAAAAATCTCTTTCGGCCAAAATCTGATGAATTCTGGTTTGATTGATTTGTACTCGCTATTCCTTAATAACGTATTCCACAGTAACTCATTACCTATATAAATGTTACATTTATTTTTTTTAGGGTACAACGCAGAAGAGTTCAACCTCGAGGAGCTCTTCTCACACCCCCAAGGATTCGGCAGCACAAGACATGTAAGGGAAGTAGAACAATCTAGTGATAGAGATCACAAGCGAAAGCATCGCCATAGGGGTGATTCCCTCTTACCTTATAAGGTGATGTAATTTTCTTTTTCGTTGTTTAATAATAACCTTATAACTCATATATAATATAATTCACAAATAAATGTTAATTTTCTTACAGTACTGCTGCGGCGGTGAGAACAACACTGACCGTTCAAACTATAAAGAAATTAGAGATATATTCGTAAAATGTATTGAAGACAAGCTTGAGCATAAGGACGAGTGGTCCAATTTTGGTAAGTCAATGTAGTTGTTTCTTTTATTTACTCTTTGTGAACCACAGCTGGTCTTCCAATATTCTGTGAGTTAAATGCCGAAAAACTCCCTTCTTAGTTAGGTTTTCTGCAGCATGTAACACTATTTTCTTTATCTCTCGTTTCGATGGATTGACCATTTTTAACTTCATCTGTTTAACTTTCACTTACGTATATATGTAATATATAGTAAGGGTAAGTATTGCGATTGCGAAAATTTTTTAATCTGAGTTTTCAACGGAAATACACGTTTTGAGGTCTCCTGAGTCCAATGGTTTCAATGGTTTTTGGAGCACTGCAGGGAACTCACAAGGCTTTCAAGGGCGGAAATGTGGAGTTTTTATATCCACTATTTATCTGACAATATGAACAAGAAATTTGAATTACGCGAGCTTTTGCAAGGTAAATTGTCTAATTTGACAGGGCTATCTATACTCAATGTCTGTACGGATATTATAAATTTTCCAACTAGATATATCACTAAAATGACTTTACTCAAAAATTTTGAAATTTTAGTCAGTCATTCAGTCAACTGAAGGCTCAATTATGAATTAAGGCACATGACTGGAAAAATGTAAAACAAATTAAACTGTTTGAAAAATCACCTTATCTCAAACCTAAACTTAGCTTAGTAGAACATTCCTTATGTTATTTACATGTTGAAAAGTTTTTTTACTAACTCCACTCTGAAATGGTTCAATAACCATTTCAGGTTCTTGAATCACTTTTCAATTATAAGATTAGTATTAGAGTGCTACCATTCGGTTGTTACTCAGTAAGTGTTTTTCATGTCATTATATACATTATCTTCAAATTTACTAGATGTATTTATTTAATACAGTTTTAAATGTCTTTAAGAAAAAAAAAAGGATTAGTAAAGTAATGTTTATGTTGTATATTTGCAGGTAATCCAACAAAAGATCCTTTCACTTGTGAGCGTATGAAAAAGTTTAAAAATCATTTTTATGTAAGTAATTTTTGTATTTAAATGTTTGAATAAAAATTAGATTTTTTAAGTCATCATAGAACAATAATCATTCAAAATAATGTATTTTTTTCCAGTGCGCCGCAGATTGTATGATGAAAAGCTACGGAGCGGTGAGTCTTTATATACCACAGTCAATTTAAGATAAGCATTATGTAAAAAATGACTCAATATTTTATGAATATTTCAAGGTGTTGTTGATATAATATTATGTCGAAATTTTATATTGATATATATTTCTATATTTATGAAAGTAAGAAAAAATACCTCACCTTTAAGTTATTCCCACCCCAGCTCACATTTTGTTTATTATGTTTACAGTAAATTATATTTCAATTATTTGCCCATATAGAATGACGTCTCTTGCATGGATTGCAATGTAAGCATTCTTCGATTTTTTTTTAATGATATTAATGATGGTATCATTAATACAAAATAATTTCCACAATGAAGTACAAAACATCTGTCATTTTCAGAGTTTCAAATCGATAATTATTTTTCCACAAAATCATGTAATAATAATTATATTTAATTTAAAAATCATACCTGATGGATATATTTTTTTTGTTGTTGAAGAGGTTTTTTTTATTGAAGAAAAATATTTCAATCTTTCACAATCTAGGCATTGAGCATGGCTCTATTTTTACATTCATACATTTTAACATATAAATTGAGAAAAAAATAAAACATGTAAGTAAAAATATATACATTAAAATAATAGAAGAAAAACTTGTAAAAAGAAAAAAAAAATACATTCAAAGAATAGTAAAGAAAGAAAAAAACAATTGAGTACTTTAAAACCTTCAGTATTCAAACCACGCCCTGAAGACGAGCCACACGTTTGGGTTGAAACATTGGCATAAATAAAAAAATTTGTATGACTGTATCCTGACTATTTATCACCCATGAGTACTTGAAAGCCTTCAGTGCCCGAACCACGCCCTGTAGATGACCCACATGTTTGGGTTGAAACGTTGGCCCAACTAAAAACATTTGTATGGAAAAAAAAAATACTTAACACACATTCATTCCTATGTACAATATTTACATTCAACCTCAGGAACTCGGAACCATGTCTTGCCGCTCTTATGTGAAAGGCAAGGTAGGGCTCAAGGAGATCCCAGCTCTTCTATCCCAGTCACATCACTGTTTAAAAACCAGTAGTGAGTAAGAGAGAGCGCTAAATCCACATACGCTCAGGCCTTGAGTGAAGATGCTGGCCACTGCCTGGTCTCTATTAGAATATTTATAAAAGATCTCGGGTGCATTGCCGGTTCGATCTTCGTGGGGAATTATAGTTTTATAAATAAAGATTTAAATCGATCTTTGATGTTTATTAATTAAATTAAAAATAATAACGACTCGCTTATTTGTTTTATATAAATAATAATGATCAAATTTTACTTAAAAAAAACTTTTGACCAATAAATAATAGAAATAACAAGTGTAAATGACCTTTGACAAATTTCTTAATATTATATTTCTAAATTTACATTTTTTTTATATTACATACATAGATACATTTTTTTTTTTTTTTTGGAATCCAAAATTTCTAATGGATTTCGGAAATAATAATGTTTTTTTCTAATAGTTGTCAACAATATTCTGCACCTCAAAATTCTCCAAACTCAAAATTTAAAAACTTTTATCAGATTTGATTTTGATTTTTTTTAATATCCATTTCAATCTCTGATAATTTCTTATCAAAGCACCTCCAATTCGCCCCTTGAAAGTTTTTTACTTTACGTCATAAAGTAGTTCAAAATGTTAAATTTAGTAAATCGGATAAGCGAAAAGTTAAGTTGCATGTAACCTAACATAGCCTTTCAGGTTAATTTTTTTTCATTTACTTTCAAGAGTCTTTTTTTATAGCATTTCATTGCTGTTATGTGGAAATGTGATAAATCATAAATCAAAGAACAATAATATGGTTTTATTCTTTATTTATTAGCTAGGAAATGACGGATCAGTTGACATTGATAAATGGACAGAATTTACTACAAATGACCTTGCTTTTCCATGGTTAAAGGATCTTGCTGCAGTAGCTGTAGAAAAATGTATCAAAAATGGTAATTATTGCGCTAAAGGATTGTTTATTTTATCTCATTCAAATATAATTATTACTTATAAATATAATTATAGAATAAATTATGATAAAAATGAAATAATATTCTTTATATATTTGTAGACTATCACTGGTTGAAAAATGGAGGTGATTTGAAATGTAATTCACGAGCCGTTGACGTCAATCACTGTGTCTGGAGCCAAATAATGATGGTATAACTATTCATATTTTATTATATATATATATATATATATATATATATATACGTGTGTGTGTGTGTGTGTGTGTGTGTGTGTGTGTGTGTGTGTGTGTGTGTTTATCTGATGATACTTAGATTATGACAAAATTTATACAAATGAATTCGTGAACATATAATTTAATTTATTTTTTATAGTATATATATATATATATATATATATATATATATATATATATATATATATATATATATATATATATATGTCTTATTGAGATTAATATAAATTTTGATTTGACATAAATTACTTTTCATTTTATAAATAGTATGATCATTTCATTTGCGACTTTGAAAAAACGTTTTTTTTTATTAATATTATCTAATTTATATTATTTTTTCAGACTTGTCCAGATGAACATTTTGTGAAGAGTAAGTATATTTATACTGTTATAAAAGAAAAATATAGGATATGCTCAGTGATAATAAATATAATAAAAAAAAAAACGTCCAATAAGTTTTGATACAGCGTAACTCAAATGTTGACGTAATTGATCTGAGTTAGGCATTTGTCCTACGGATGGTATATAATATGGATTAATATCGGAATGTTATATTATGGTACAGCTATGCATATGTCAAAGAAGCTACGTCAAATTGATGTTATGCGATACAAGATCATTAGAAACGGAATCAGAACTTTTTTTTTTTTTTATTGTTGGGAGAATTCAGTTATACGTTGATAAAATATATACGCTATTTTGGTTCATATACATTACATAATTGACCTTCTCCATATTGTTACTCCTATAACAAGGTCGTATAAAATTGTTTATCTGTTTAGATATCTGGCATTGACTTAATTTTGTATCAACAGTGGGATTTAGTTATTTTTCTAAGATTGTATGATTATTATTTAATTCTGCGTTTTTCATAACCTCTTTAATATTGTTCTTTCCCAGTAGTTTTGTAAAATATGGATATCAACTATGATTAAGACAATCTGATGAATTATCATCTGGAAAATCTTGCTTATCTAGACGTACCGTAAGATGGGGTAGTTTTGGTACTGGGTGGGTAACTTAGGAACAATGGGTCAAATTTAGTTTGTGCTGATTCATTGGTAGATACCACTGTGTTGGTATAGTTTGCAAATACGTGTTTTGTGCAAGTATGTACTGCGCTCCTACCTTCCGGCAGTTTGAGATTCCTAGTTCACTACACTCCTAGTGCAGTTAGGTTTTATTTATTTCCATTGATTTTTCAAAATTTATGTTTACATAAGCTTTTGCTTGTGCTTCACAAATAGTGTTCCTTGAGATAGTAGCGCAGTACATGCGCTGTCCATGCTGATTGAACTAACACAGTGTATCCACCACGCAATCACCACAAACTAAATTGTACCCCACTGTCCTAAAGTTACCACCCAGTCCCACAGTTATTCCATCATCTAATATATATTTTTGAACTGTTTATTATATTTCACGATTATTATGGTTTTAGTAAGGTATACAGAATAGCTACATATATGATGAGTTATGTTGCATCATGCATAATTTTAAAGTCATTATATAATTGATTATGAACCTCATTATTATATATTTTAGTATTATCATTTTCGGGGACACCAAGTAACAGTTGATGTGCGATGATATTTTAGTAAATGGTAAAATTAAAGTGAGCTGAGTGAGTCCAAACATCGGCAAGTGAAAAAAAAAAATAGACAGACGAAGTTTAAAAGAGTTTTCCTGAAAAGTATAATACTGGAATAAATTATTACACGGCTATATATAAATATATTTTTTATATTTACAAAAAAATGAAAATGTTAACAATTATACATTATTCCTTGCAGGTCCCTATTGTATACGAGTCAAAGAAGCCTTTGAAGATGTCGATGGCTAAATTGATCTACAAATATCTGTCTTAGAGCATCCAATATAACTTTAGGGTATCATCTTGCTCGATTGGTTTACCTCAAAGATTTTTTTCTGAAATAAATTTTGTAAACGCATATTTATTGTTTTTAGTCCCTTCACCATTGAACTGCCGGTTTTAGTGGGTAGTTTCTTACCTTGTTTCTGTCATGTCATATTACTGCATGACAGGGTCTCTTTTTGTATTTTGATTATGAACACCCACACACAGACACAAACATAATACAGAAGTATAATGGATCCCGTTGCCAATTTCAGGAAAAATCGATTTAGACAAACGAACGTAAAAAAAAAAAAAAATAGGATCGTTTTGACAAAAAATATATTCATTACTATTTGTTTACTGGTTTATATAAGCTATCTTTTAGTACCAATAGTTGTCCTTTTTGCCAACCCCTGACACTGCTACCAAGAGGTTTTTCATCTCAATGATGATAACAGCAGAGACATATTTAAAAATTTTATCTCATTTATAATTCGTTTATACTAGAAGACCATAGTGGTATAACAAAACTTTTAAACAGAAGAAATTTTACCTACCTATTGGAATTAAATTTAAGATAAAATAAAAATTAGTATTTTATTATTTTGCCTGTATCGTGTTTTTTATTATTTCATCCAAATGGCTTGAATTCAAATGCAATACCCTAAAAAAAAAAAAAAATTGACAAAATTTGAGCCGTATTCTTCATTTTCCGGTCAAGTTATGAGCTGATGCTCAAAGAGCCTATACCCTCGCCCCAGTGTGCGGTGTCAACTTTTTATCGAATTATTAACATGTGCCTGAAAACGACTGTCAGTTACTACATATCCTGGGCTTTCAATTAGAAAATATGAATTTAAGTCCCGTTTTTCGCGTAATGGTCCTTCATTGGGAAAACTATGCGTTTTAGCGATGATGATATTCAATGTAAAATTAAACCTGAGAACATTTGCAGCGAAATTGGTTATATTCTTGAAGGAACTATAACAACGTGTAAATTTCAAGTTTTCGTGTAAAAAACTAGCATTCGTATATTTCGTTATTACACAGCTCTTAATCTGTATAACATCCAATACATAGATACTTTTATATTTAAATATTGTTTATTATAAGTATGAGTAGCTGTTTGTTCGGAAACGGTTTGCATTTCCAGCGTTACGGCGAATGGTGGGGGGCAGATCAGAAGATTTAAGAGATAACACTTAATCCGCTCCAGCCGCAGGTTTTTTCGCCTATTCCTCCACTCAGTCACTGAGACAGCACGTACAACGGCACTTGAGTGCCCTCAGGTAATGAAGAGACGTAAACTGGCACAAAGATGAGAAGCTATTTCTGCACATTTAGTATAACCTATCAATTCATTAAAATGCAGTCCACTGCATAAATGTAGAATGTTGCCCATAATTTTGAATGTTGTCTATTCATGCGAGTTATTTACCTTAATTTGAGAAGTTGCCTAAACAGTAGCAATCGAATAAGTTATTAAACGTATCATATAACATATTATCATGTACATTTGTAGTTCTTTAAAAATAATATAGTTTGCTGTTATTTGATTCTATTTTCTACACTGTGAATCTAATAGAACAGCATTTGGAACTCTATATCTCACCCTTCTATAGAAATATATTCACTATTGATGAGAGAAACTACTAATTGGCAATTTATTATACTACAAATTTACATTATACTACAAATTGGCAATTTTAATGGTAATCGTTGAATCTATAAGATTATTATAGCTATAATAATCTTATATATAATGTGCTAGTACACTGTAAAGTCACTAAGCACTACGAGTTAAAATTTACGAGTATGTTAACTCTGGTTTGTTATGTTATCTATTCTGAATTAGGTAAGAAAGGTTTGGATGATTCTACGCTCAATAACTATTTGTGCATATCATTATAAATGAGGATCCAGTAAATTGTTTTGATAATAATTGAGATTTTTAATGCCTTGATGTTTTAAATTTTCTAATCATATCCGACAATAATTTTATATATCTATACTCTTATAAATTATTGAAACATTTATTTCCTTTTACAATAACATTTTCTGCTATAAGAAGACGCATTACTGAATGTATCACCAACAGAGATACAGTCATGGATAAGAGAGTTACGTTTATCACATCGTATTAAGGGTAACAATCGCTGGGCTGGACAGGTAATTAGGTCGGTGCAGTAGTATACATTGGCGTTATACCCTAGTGTGGTGAACAAGTGCATCAAGTACCTTGAATTTCGCTGGTTCCTCTTTTTTAATATTCTTTTAGGGTCTACCTTTTGAGAAGCTAAAACTTTACGATAATCAAATTCGTAGAAGTCCCGATGCATTTTTAAATAATCCCTAGTAAGAACTTCCATTATCTCCTCCATGACTGAAACATAAACAATCAATATTAACCTTAATGCCTAGAGGTAAGGCTTTAGAATGTTTTTAATAGGAAACTTTACAGTCCAATATGTAATAATACAAAATTATAAGATCTTCTATCACCGAATAGTAGATGATAGTTTCCATTTCTTTTTAAACTGGTATATGTGAGTCCTAGATATGTGTGTGTCGTTGCGTGTTAATTCATCAAACGCAAAATGATATTTTTTCATTTTTTACCACAACGGAAAAACCACCAATTTCCAGAGAGCCAAAACCACTTCTAACAGTCATTAGTAGTATCAAAATATGTCCACTATTTTGTAAATAGTGCTACAATAGTAAATATATATGTCAAAGTCGAATCAATGATGCTATATTCTTCTAAAAAAATATTTTTAAAAAATTGTAAATATTTGACTAATAAAAAGGCGGAATTCCATACTTATGAGCAGGGTCAAGAGAGGGTATTGAGAGTAGTAATTAGAAGCCTTCATCCTTTAACTTCACCAGAAACATCCAAAGAAGAATTGACGTAAGAGCGTCAATGTCACCCAAGAGGCTTCAATGTTCACCAAATCGTTAATATTCACAAAGAAAATAAATAGCAGCCGGTTGCAAATATCAAAATAGCCCTACCTCTATTTATTGTACCATACCAGTATAGTTTTCGAAAAACTCTATGCCAAAAGGAAAATCGTCCAATGCCATAATTGCCAATCTTATGGCCACACTAAAAGCTTACCTCCGTGGGTGAAGTGCGGACAACAACACAACTCGGAAGAATGCAATAAGTCCAGCTAAAACCCTGCGGTGTGCGCATTATATCATCAAGATCACCCATCAAACTACAGCAGTTGCCAGATATATACAATTTATCAGAATTGCATAACATCAGGATTACAGACTGCACCTAGACAAGAAGACAACACCATACACTCCTCGTTCATTACACATCTACTTCCAACAGTCATCTCCTTCCATATAAGTCCCGTCAACTCCTAGTTTCCTCCCTTGTTTTCTCCCACTTCGACTATATGTATGGTACTGTATGGTGTACGATGGACTCCCGGGAGATCCCGAGGCCAAACTTAAACGCCTAATGAATTGCGCACTACGATTTGTTTTCAGAATCTCAAGGGATACGCATATTACCCAGTATTACACTGAGTTGAGTTGGCTCTACCCATCCTATCGCCGTCAGTACTTCCTAGCCACCTTTCTGTACCAAATCATTAGAACCCATCGACCCTCCTATATTTTTCACAGCTTACAATTCAAATATTCCATCCAATCCCGTCCCACCAGATCTCGTACTTCCGACCTCTATCCTCCTCCTCACCGAACTGCTGCGTTTGACAAATCCTTTGTAATACAAGCCGCCTCCCTCTGGAATTCCATCCCAGCTGATATTCGACACGCTCAATCAGTTTCCTCGTTTAAACCTCTCCTCTTTAAGCACCTACTCCTTTCTCAATCCGAATGATTGTGAAATATATCTAAGATAAATATCTAAGCACCACCAGAGACTACCTCAATTTATTAAGGTTATTTTAGTTTCTCATACATATGTACAATTTACTTGTTCTTTTCTTTCTCTTTTCTGTATTTTTATCGTAAGTCAACTTTCATTGTAAATATGCAATTTAATTGTAGCCACACAGCCATATAATCTGTATTCATATTTTGTTCTTAAGGGACAACAGTCCCAGAATAATAAAACATTTTTTTCATTTTCATTTTTCATTTTCAACAACCAGGCCGAAAAGTACACTGTTGTAAAAGCCACAGAATACCTACTTGACCTTCCAACTGACCTACAGCAAGACGTCTTCATGGAAACAGATAACATGATCTTAATACAATCTGTTCTAAATCCAAGCATACACGACCAGCTCACCCAAACTATCAGAAGTAACATTTATAAACTTAGGCTAGTAAATTTCGAAATAAAAATGAAATGGGTGAAAGGTCACACTGGGGTCGAAGGGAACGATGTTGCAGACACGTTAGCCAAAGAGGCTGCACAAAGTGATCTATCTTCGTAATATGATTAAAACCCGCTGTCTCATATAAAACATGAGATCAGAGAAAATTCAATTTCAAGTTGGGACGAATGACGGATTCTCTCAGAAAAATCATCCAGTTTGCATAGATTTATTCACGAATTAACAAAAATCAACTATAACTTACTAAAATCTACAAATTATAAACTTACACAGATTTTAATTGAACACGGACAGACCAAATCATACTTAAAAAGATTATACTTAAGATTCAATTTAATCAGTGACGGTACTTGCTCTCTAGCCGGACAAGAACAAACTTTGAAACATATAATTTATGACTGTCAGATACGCATAGATCTAAATTGATTATGAAATGAAAAAATAATTTTATTCTGGGACTACTGTCCCCTAAGAATAATAACAGAGTAACAAATTTATGGATCTTAGTCTGACATAATAAAAATACAAACTAATTTACTGTTAATTGTTATTTTAATTGTGCAATGGATTGAAATTAAACATTGTACAGATGCAAGTAATTTTACATGTTAGGGGAAGTTTGAATGTGACGTAGGTGTTGGAACAGGAGTTGGTTGAAGGAATTTGTGGACGAGGATTGACGCATGAAGGTGGGAAGTGAGTTTCATAAGGAAGCAGCACGAATGACGAAGGATTGGCTGAAGGATAAAGTTCTATGGGAGGGAATATATTAGTCTATAGTTGAGACCTAGTATTAAGAGAGTGGATAGAGGAGCGTAGAGTAAGGAGTTCCAGGATGTAGGGAGGGTTTTTGGTTCTGAAGACTTGGAAAAGGAAAATACCAAGGAGGAATTGTCGTCGCGAAGTAGAATAAAGCCACTTCAACTCGGTGTACCAAAGTTACATTTACTAAGATTATGTGAACGCTTGGGGATCCCGAAAATGTATCTTATGAAACAATTCATGAGTCCCTCTAGTCTCATTTTCAGCCTGGCAGATAGTCCTCCATACACCAAACAGCCGTAGTCGAAGTGGGGGAATACAAGGGAGGTTACAAGGAGCTGTCTGGTTTTTAGAGGAATACAATCACGGAATCTTAGGAGTTGTTTAAGGGCAGTTATGGATTTTTGGGTAATCTGGGAGATATTGTTATTCCAGGAAAGGTTCTGGTCAAAGGTAACTCCTAAGTTTTTGACTGTAGGGAAAAAATGGATGGGACGGTTATTGAGGTTAAGTAGAGGGAAGTAAGGAAGGGAGCTGATGAAATGTCTGGACCCGATGATAATAGCCTTGGTTTTATCTACATTCAGCTTTAATTCATTTATTTCTGCCCATCTGTTGATGCAATCGATGTCTTCTTGTAGCCTCCGGGCAGCCTCAGGCATCTCAGAAGGTTGGAATGTTTGGTATATTTGGAAATCATCGCCATATGGGTGGTAACAGGAGTGTTGAATGGCGTTAGGAAGGTCACTAATATAGATGGAGAAAAGGGTCGGAGAGAGTGAGGAACCCTGAGGAACACCTCATGTTAATTGAAGGGGTGATGATGGAGGTTTGTTCGGTATTGTAACTGTCTGAGATCGATTGAATAAAAAGGATAGGAACCATTTTAGGACGCTATTTGATATGGGCAGGCTTTGGAGTTTGGAAAAAAGAATATTATGATTAACGGAATCAAATCCTTTGGAAAAGTCAAAAAGAATTAGGATAGAGATTTTCTGTTTATCTATGGTGGATTGGAGGTCTTGGGTAATCCTTAGCAAGGCAGACTGGGTGGAATACTGGGAGCGGAAACCAGATGATGATTAAACCAGATTATGACTGCGCTATTAAAAGGAAAAAACTGGTCAATATCAGAATTTTACTTGTACAATAACTTCCGACAAGACCTCACAAAATTTACCAATAGTCTAGACTATGACCAACTAACAAAAATCTGAGTAAATGGTAAGCACATCAGATAAGATCACCGATTATTGCATATAATATATTAATTTATAAATAAAATGTACAATTAAATCTACCTGCTTTATAAATTTTGCAATTTTAAGAAACTATGTCCGTTGATTTTTGTATCTTTTACTTATTTGTGTTTTTTTTTTTAGTTATGCTTATACTTACTGTTATGTTTAAATTGAATTGTTTCTCTAATTAGTTAATGTTAATGTTATTTGATAAAATGTTATATTTAAGGTGCATAATATAATGGATGTAATGCATACAGCTCGGCATCGAGTACCATTTTAAAAATGCTAGATCCTGTACAAAATGCCGCCCTCAGAATTGCTACTGGTGCTTTCTAATACAGCCCTGCAAATATCTTATATGTATCGAAGCGAGCCTCCGCTTGGCATACTGATGTATTTTCAAATATACAATACAAAAATCATCAACAGACTGCCTTACCAAATAGATTACCCTTTACAATCAGAGTTTCAACTTTACTAAATAATATAAATATAGAACTTCCTATTTTTCAAGAAACTGCAGTTTCGCCAATTTATCCTTAGAGATTTCTCACTCCAAACATTCTTCTTTCCCTCACCAAATTTGTTAAAAACAACACAATGTCTAATGTATATAAACAGGAATTTCTCAAACTTCAAGACAGACTAGGTGATTCTGACTTTATCTACACTGACGGCTCGAAGAGCTGCGCTGGCGTGGGAGCATCAGTTGTATGTAACGAACGACACCATATTTTTTCTTATTCACCACTATGTAATAATTATATTGCTGAATTGGTTGCAATACATAAAAGTTTAAATGTTATACAGCCCAATAAACAAAAAATGGTCATATACCCAGATTTTCTATCCGCCTTAAATGGTCTAGGAAATGTTTTCTCATCTAATATCATCATACAAAACATTCTGTACTTAATAAAGTCCGCAAATGGAAATAATATATCAGTAATTTTTGTATGGGTTCCTGGGCATTGCGGAATAGCCGGTAATGAACTGTCTGACCTAGCTGACAAAAAAGCCGTTACTTATCTAATACCTTATCGGGGAGTACCTGTTGAGGATTTTATAACCATCATCAAACAGAAAATGGAACAGAAAAGGTCGAATGTAACCTAAAATAAATTAAGCAAGATAAATGGTGACGTTTACTCTGGGGCATCGTCAAATAGGAATAACCGCAGAGATGAAGTAATTCTTACGCGCCTGCGTATAGGTTATACACGCCTTTCCCATGGATGCCTGATGGCACGTGATTCTTCGCCATGATTGCCAAACCTGTGGGACTCCTCTGACAGTGAAACACATTTTAACAGAATGTGCAGCTTATGAAGCATTTAGGCTCTCTTGTGACTTGACAAACGATCTACACACCATTTTACAGGACAATACAAATGGCTGACAAATTATTTTCTTTTATGAAATGTTCGAAACTTGAAAATAGAATCTAATTCTCAATTAAAATAAGGCAATAAAGACCCTAGTGGTTGAAGCTGAAAAAAGTGGTTATTGAAAAAAAATAAAAATGGTGCATAATATACATTTGTATGGGAATGTACCGTACAAACGGTCCTTTCAAAGGGTATTATAAGTAATCGCTACTTACTTTATTAGTGACACAATAATTTTCCTCTAAACACTATAAAACTAAATAATCCAAAGAGAAATATCTTAAGGAACTACATTTACTAACACTAATCACAGTTACAAACTTCTATGCATTTTTGACATGTGATCCCTCAATACCATGTGATCATCTTCTTAAATGATCGTAATAACGGTCCTGATTTTCTTACACGCTAAACAGATTAAGATGAATCCAGAGTCTAGTGTACCATGATTCTGTCCTATAATATGTCTTATTTGGTGATTTATGCAACAAGTGACTAGTGATGAGCGACTTATACTATAGTTTTCTATCCTAAATGATTTACTATAGTTGGAAATTGAATGTACCGTTAATGTAGAAGTAAATTATTATATTATTTTTAATAATATTACTATTAAAAAAAAACAGAAGAGTTATTTTTATCTTCCTGAAAGATTCACAAAATTTAGATATCAAGATTTTACATGAAAGATATTTATTAAAATTATAACCCGACTTAGAGAAGCGAAACGGGAGTTGTGTGTTAGGGGAATCCACTAGAGCAAAAGGCTGAATCGATTTTCTAACAGGATTTTTCGAACGTAAGCTTGGAAAAATTTTATGTTTGGTACCTTAAAGTATTCTATGAGATCCCGTAGTTGTTTTGAAAGAATTTTAGCTTAAATTCTGGCAAATTACTTATTTAAGTGTGTTTAATCAATCCGCTGAAAGGTACATTTTTTGAGTGATTTTTAAGATTTTTATATGGAACTATTTTTTGAGCGAATAGCATGATCGATTTTTCAGTTTTGACGGTTGTAGTTACTCAGTTAAATCTCGTGAATGTTTCAAACAATTCAAGGTCAAAATACTTCGAAAAATATTGTAGTTAAAGTATCTCAATTCTAAATTGATTTTAAATGATATCATATGATCATATTTTATGAAAATGAATTGTTAATATTTTAAAAACTAAAAATGTAAAAATATATTTTTTTTAATTAGAAAAAAACCCGAATACAGAAATTAGGAAATTCTATTCCCCCTAAGGGAATTTACTTCTATATCTACTTAAACATCTTGATAGATTGATAGGGTAATTGCCATCTATTAATATTTAAACTTGGTGTAGTGGTCGGGTGCCTGACACATCCTGAACGAAAGTCAAGACTCTTCAGGATTTTGACATAAACCGATACATGGGACTACCAGCGGAACAAGGATTTAAATTTTTTTTGGGAGAGGGGCTCCAGTCCGAAAGCTTTTTTTCCTAAAATAACGATAATGACTTTGGAAAAAAATAAAGAAACTAACTACCTGTATGAAATGCTGTTTAAGTGATTCCTAAAGTCCTTTTAAATGTAATTACACGAACAATAATACATTAAGAGATAATGTTTTAATATTTTTTTTTAATAAAAAATGGTTATATTTTACTATTTTGGGGGGTTTCAGTCCCAAAGCTTCCCCTCCCGTAGATCCGCCCGTGTATGGGACGAAATGTGCCTGGAGCCGTGATGTATAGGTATAATGATAGGAACTCGACTCCTGCACCAAATTTGAGTATTCGTAGTCAATTTCTCTATCAATATACCAAGATGTTTTCGTAAATATGGAAATCCATTCGCTTATTATGGAGAGAATTGCTGTAGTGGGTTTTATTTTTCAAATATTTTTTTTATTATTATCTTTTTTTTATAATTTTTTTCCCTACCCTCTAGGAATTTATTTACTATACAAAATACAATATATAAATACATAAAGAAATATATATGCAAAAATTTCTAATTTCCTTTTATTGCCCAAGGGCATTTTAAGGTAAAAGAGCTATGCACGCTGTATGCGTACTTTACATCTGTGTTCGCATTTGTTATTATTATATTAAAATAAGTTATTTTATTTCTTAATTTATTTATTTTTTACGAGTATAATGATAATATGTTATTTTTTTATTATTAAGTAATTTCCCACTATTGTGGAAATCCGGATCCATGGTTTGTTCTTCTCCAATCCGCCAGGATTTCCTGCAATTCGTCTTTCCATTTTATCTTCGGTCTTCATTTTTCCCTTCTTCATTTTACTTCCAGTTACATACCTACTTATTTTTTATAAAGTATTTATATTTAATATATACTTAATACAAAATATAAATTTATTTCTTGTATTGAAAAGGGATCTATACCACCGTGTTATACGTAGATACTCACTTATTTTACTAATGATATTTTATTTTAAATACATGCCACTAAATTGCTCATTAATAAGAATTTTTTTTCTCATAAAGATAACAAACTTATTTTCATTTACATCTAATGATTTATAGGCATGCTTCATATATTTTATATACCTCACATTTCATATCGCAATTAATTATTAATTCTTAAAAAAATTAATATATAAGTCTTGACAGTCTGATTAAAATCGCTATACGTTGCTTCCTCGCAAAGTAATAAACAGATGTTTATTGTTGAGCTTGATGCTCCAAAGAACGAATGAAATCTGGATCGTAAGAGGGTTCCATAAATTTGAAAAAAGTGTATAAACTCGAATAGCTGCTGAAAATAAGGGAAAAAATTCAAGAATATTAGTATCGTACAAAGCAAAGTCATAGGGTATGTTAAACAAAGGCTTTTTAAGACCAATTTTTTTTTTTTAGATTTTTAAAAGTGGTGATGCAGGTTAAAAGTTTTTGATGAAACTACACACTTCTTAAATTTGAACAAAATTTTTTTTGTTATAAGTTTTATATGTAGTTCAATAAACATCCAAATTACGCCTTTATAAAATTTATATAAATAAAAAAATTCAAATGGAAATAATATAACTTACAACTAAAATAAATATGTTTTATTTTTCAAATTTCAAAATATTTTTTAGTTATTTAGAAATACGCATAGTTTATAGAATCAAGTAATTTCTGAATAATTAACAAATACAATATATTTCGCTTTTTCAACTTCTACATATGAGAAATAATAGTCTCCTCCTAATTGGGAAAGACATTTTATATTTTTATTATATGTCATTATGGCATTGGGAACAAGTATTCAGAATGACAATTCTGATTGTTAACGAGCATAATAATAGCTTGGAATATATTGTTTTAGTGCTTGTTCATCAGGTAGTCGATCATACTCTTTGCTGTCCAAATGGAAAGGATCTGTGGAATCCAGCCGGAATGAACCCGAGTGGAAGAGGCTGCGCTCGATATGTGTGGACGAAGACCAATGGAGGTTGAGAACTTCGTGGGACAAACTGAGAAGACTTCGTCGGATTCGTAGAGATCTGTGCTGATGAAGGGATGACTACATTCGTAGAAGTGGTAGTGCTCCCTGTAACCATTAGAAACCATAACAACAATAGAACGTTTCTCTTACCCATCGCTAATGCATGAGATCCAAACTCTAGCTTCACGTTCGCCTTATATGCGCCATTAGGAACTGATAAAGTAAACTTTACTATCGCGAAAACTTTCACACCCGAAGATATGTAAATCCTCGCAAAAATAAAAAGTAATGAGCGATGTTTATGGCCACCAACGGACAGTAAGTTATGTATCTTATTAGTCCGTACCGATCGCACAATAAACATGAAGAAACAATAAAATGATTATTTTGGAATTAAATCTGATTGTACCTATGATATGGAAATTTATTTTTTATCGTCGAGATTTAATACTCAACTTTGAAGCTATTGCTTTCTTATCATATGCATATAGGTTTAATCTCACGTATGACCCACTTTTCCTTGTCAACATCTATTTTCATGTAAAACAGTTTTAAATTTACCAATTATCAGATTCGAAAGTCAGAACTTCCATGAATAATTAACACAGGCAAGCCTTAGCAATTCGGCGCCCCCTGAGCAATGACAAAAATTAAATTTATTTCTCAAGCTATTTTACATTATACAATATTTGAATTTTATTTTATTCAATATTTCTCTTATACAGATGCTTTATTAATAGGCTAAATTTGATTATTTTAATACGCTTTGTATTTTTATTTATTTTTTCTAATAAGTGACGAGGGCCCTCAACTGGCGCTCTGGGGCAATTGTTCTGGTTATCCTAACACGTTCTTTCGCTAAATGAATTATTAAGTTCATATGTGCCGGAACTTAGTAAATATTGGGAAAGGGAGAGAGGTTGCGAAGTTTGGTACATACATAAAGGAGAAACTCAGAGATAATTTCGTTAGCTGTATTATAATATATTAATTCTTAAAAATATGTTTTTGTCGGTACGTCATATCTTCATCAAATCCCATGATCGAGTCTTCATTTTGAAGACCCAGAAAAAAAGTAGTAAAGAAAAAGAAACTATATTTGTTGGAAAAAAAATTATGGTAAATAGAGTTTGACAGATTTGTAAATTCCTTAAAAAAAACAATCGTATCACTTTTTTTGCAAAGATAGGGTCAACTGTGTTTTGTAAGCATATTTTGATTTATTTGAAATTAACCGTTGTATTCGACCTAGGAAAAAAAAATTCTACCTGTTATAATCTATTGAATTTAGTTTTTTTTACTTGCACTTAGCTATATGTAGTATATAGTAAGGGAAAATATTGCGATCGTGAACATTTTCGAATCTCAGTTTTCAACGGAAATATAGGTTTTAAGGTAACCTGAGTCTAAATAACCAAGTCCCGCAAAATGGTGTGTGCGTGCGTATGCGAGTGTGTGTGTGTGTGTGTGTGTGTGTGTGTGTGTTGGTGGGTATGTGATCAGTCTAGATCAAAAACGAAAATTCGTACGAAACTGATATTACGTATTTAAGACAGGTATATGCCTTGGATGTGACAATTTTTTCGTTAAAATCGACTAAGCGGAAGTGGCACTTTATATCAACGGTCATACATATTAATACAATTTTCTCAAAAACGCCTCTAATTATTTTGATTAAACTCGGTGTATCATTGTATAATTAAGTGGTCTTTAATATCATTGAGGTATCAACCCCATTGATGTCACTTAACGTGGCTTAAATGCTTAAATGTTCAACATGTCTTCCTCTAAATTACCTATAATTTGGTTTATTTTAAATAATTAACTATCTCTCATTATTAAGAGTTACGAAAAAATGACAAAATATAACTTTTGAAAGAATTTGATAATTGAAAAAGAGGGAAAATGTTTATTTAGGTCGAAAATGAATTTCCGGAAATACTAGTCAGAAGGTATATGTATAATATATCGTTGGAAAGCGGAGAGAAGAAAAAAATAATATCTAATATGAAAGTCGTAGAAAATAATAGTGAGTGACGAAAAATTGTTTTATAAATTATTTCTAAAAGGTGTTTTTTTGTCGGTACGCCATAACTTCGTCAATTTTTTATCAAATCCAATGATTGACCTCATTTTGAAGATTTTCTTCTCCTTCACGTGCGAAAAATTGTATTATCCTCCCAAAATTTCTAGAAAAAAGTGAAGAGGAAATGAGACTTTATTTGCGAATAACTCAAAAAGTATACATTTCTTAATTTTTTTTTATTGTGCCCATAATAACTAGAAATATTAATAAATTACCTATAAAACAAAACAAAAATCGGACAATCATTAACAAAGATTCAGTATATTAGTTTTGATATACTTAATAATTCCTTCCTCTTCAAAGATACTGCACGAACTATTCTATTCCTTTTTTTCCTCGCTGATATATTTCTTGAAAGTATTTTTTTTGGAGATTTTATATTTTTTAATAATTTGAATGTTATCTTTTCAGTCAGCGTTTAGAAATAGTAGATTGAACAACTATTTTTGTCTATTATGTTAAATGGTATATTGTAATCGACCCAGGAAAAATAATTAATTCTTCCCTTACATAATACATAGGATCTACTTATTTCCATTTCGTTTCGCTATTTCTTCACTAACGAAAATTGTCTGCGAATTATTTGCACGGGCCAACTATTAAAGAATAATTTGTAAAAACTGATATTATTTAACGGAAATTTCATATTTTTAAGGAAATTAAATGAAATTAACTAACTAAATGTATACTTTTTTAAGGTTGAAAAAAAAGTATTTAAAATCCACCTTATCAAGGCAAAGGAATTGTTTAAAATCTTATTTCATAATACTTATATATATATATATATATATATATATATATATATATATATATATATATATATATATATATATAAGATAAAGACCGGAGACTGGCGATATCAGCCTTAATACCATCTTGTAATGTAAATAAACATAGCGATTGTATATAAGGCAGATTATTGGACGAATAAAGCAGTGTTTATTCAGAAGCCGTGAGTATTGTTTCTCGTTCCTCTTTCCTTCTTTTTTTTTATTTTTAAAGCCCGGAGACGCTTAACTGGTGCCGAAACCCGGGAGAACGTCAGGAGAACACGGAAGTAATTTTTTTTTTTTTCTGTCTTTATTTTAATTTTTTTTTCTCTTCTCCTAGTCATAAGGAAAAGACGAGATGCCGACAGAGGGCATAATTCGACCAGGAGTGTTGAACGCACCTGAAATGCCGCAACCTCAGGAAATGCCGATAGCGCAGATTCCTCAGATCGCCCCTCAGGTTCCGCAGATTCCGCAGATACCTCAGATACCTCAAGTACCGCAGATACAAGAGATCCCTCCCTTACCTAGGGACACATTGGCAGAGGCGCATGCCAATGCATTGGAGTGGATGAAGATAAGGGCAGCAACCACGCAGGATCTACGGAGAGCAATCGCAGACCTGGAGCGATTCGGGGGCGAGGTAGGTGAACTTAATCACTTCCTGAAAGGCGGAGACCGCCTCATATCAAGAATCGAAGCAAAGGTGGCGGAGGACCTCGTGAACCTGGGAGACGCAGAAGCACTGAAGGCAGCTCTCGTGTGCCGAGTGAGGAGGAACATCCTCAACCAAATCCAAGCGGACGAGGAGACACCATGGCCAGTGATTAAGGAGCGTTTGAAGAAGGCTTTCGGAGGGGGCCGATGGACGCCAGAAGAAGATATCTTCCAAATGTTTAGGGAGTGTCGGTCCCAACGCCAAACAAGAGGACAGTATGCGGGGGTACTAGTGGCGAAGTACAACCGCATAACTGAGAAAATGCGTGAAACCATGAGTGTGGGAGAGGTCGAGGCTAGGATGGAATTCCTTTCGACAATACTCAAGGTTCAGTTAGCTAAGGAGACTGGGAGAAGGGACGGACTGCCTAGAGAGCGATCGTTCCTCGAGTGTGCCCAAGAAATGATAGATCTGCGTGCAAGAGAGGAAGAGACGCGGATGGAAGTAGAAGAACCAGGGTGGACCCGAGTGAGTGACAGACGACACCGGACAGCCCAGATAGGGTGGAGGAAGAGGGAAATGAAACACCCGAACGGAGAAAAAGCCACGACGGGCGAGAGAAGATCCGGACAGTCCAGGCCTAGGAATGGACCCCGGAGGGAAGACCGAAAATGTCACGGGTGCGGGAAACCGGGACATTTGGTAGCACAATGTCCGCGCACTAGATGTTTCGAGTGCGGGACTGAAGGGCATATTGCCAGACAGTGCCCGTACATGTTTCGCAGGAGGGAGAGACCTCTAGACGAGCCAATGGAGGTGAACGCTCAAAAGTTGAAAAAACGAGCTAGGATGCAGCAGAGAGACGGATCTTCGGAAGAGGCAACCGAGGAGTCGGGGACGTCGGGAACGGAGACTGACGAGCCAGCCAGCAGTGGAGGCGAAGGAGGCAGGAGCAGCCAACGGAGCGAGCAACGACGAGCGACGGCGGTAAGGAGGAAGCGAGGTGGCATCTGAGAAGGGTGTCAGCAGAGAGGCGACCGCACAGCAACCTGCAACAATATTAGAGGTAAGCCATGCTGGTTGCCGATTATTGAAGTAGATGGGGGAGTGAAGTGTCTCGTGGACACAGGGAGCTCGAGTACTATCTTGACTCGGGGAGCGTTGGGGAGAGTGTGCGGGAGCGAGAGGGTACTCCGGATACAAAACTGTGGCTGCCAGCTAATCACTCTGGGTGGTCCCTGTAAAGTAGAAGGGGAAGCGTCGATTACGCTTGACCGGTGGGCAGGGAAAAAGGGGGAGCTAAGGGTGCATGTGGTAGAGAGCATGGCGCGGGAGTACCAAGTCATAATAGGGTGTGATCTGTTAGGACAGGTAGGGGTAAGCATTAGAAACCGTAGAGGAGCTTGGAGTATCAGGCTGGGAAAGAGGAAATTCGGATGTATAGGGGTCGCGAGAGAAAGAAGGGTGCGGATAGGAGCGGTGAACAGGGTGGAGGACTGGAGGAAGGCGTTACAAGCGGAGTTCGTAGATATTTTCTTCAGGGAGGGCGAGGTATTGGGGGTAACAGGGAAGACGGTACACGAAGTTCCACTGAAGCAAGATAGGGTGACCTACGTAAAGGAAAGGAGATACCCGCAGGCGATGAGGCAGCATATTCGGGAGGAATTGGAAAGCCTGAAAAAGCAAGGGATCA